ACTTTTTGCTAGGGTGAGGTCAACTTAAGTAGTTGACCTCGGGTCAAGGTCAGGTCAGAGCCCCTCAGGTCACGAAGCTGGGCAAAGGGTATCATATGGCATATCATTCGATTCGGAAGGTCTTCCCGAGTCCATTGGTGGCTTTCCCGACTCTCTAGCTCCATTTGATCGGGAGTTATTGACGAAAAACTCGTACGACCCTAGTGACGTCATAAATGACGTCACGCAAGGTTAACAATGCAAAAGTAAAGCATTGGACTTTGCACGGAGTGCATGAAATCACGATACCATTTACGTGGGATAGTTTTAGATCATTCTCGGCGCCAAAATAACAGTTTTTATATTTCCCCATTGATTTATAACAGTGATGTCACGTGACCGACCTGACCTCATGTAACCTTGAAAAATTCCCAGATATACAAGTTGTGAGACCTCTGGAGGACACCATGTATGCGTCCTGTAACTTTCATCTCGGACAGCTATGGTCATTGGCGTCCAAAACAATGTCAGAACCAAACAGCCTTTTTCACCCTCACGCTTATAGGAAAGAGGGTTGAATGAACCCTCTTTTCACTTTTTTCAGATGACTCAGACTTGAATTGAAATTTCAGTAACCCGTGATGTCACTAGGCAGCTTTACCACGCCATTTGTAAGCTCCCCTCCCGAAATCACTATTCGAAACCGTTATCGTGACGTAAAATAAATACATTTATAGAAAGAACACCTTCCTAATTTTTTGCATACTTCTTAACAATGAGCCAAATATTTTTTTAAAGAAATAAAAATTCAAAAAAATTTGGTCCCAAAGTCCAAAAAATACAAATGAAAGAAAACTCGATATGTCATATATCAAAAATAGCGTATTTTTCGAAATTTCAAAAATACATATTAATCTCTGTTTCATTGCAAGTTCAATGTTATATAACATTTGGCATTTGAATAATCCGTCTTAGAGTTACAGCCCGCCAAACTTAGCGCTGCAAAGCAAGATCCAAAAAATGTTATACACTATAACTCAAAAAAATACTTATCTGATAAGCCTGAAATTGTTACAGGTGGATTCAGAGCCCCTGATTACCCCTGAGACCAATTCTCGTCAAATTCCGAGAGATGAGGGTGTCAAATTGGAAAAAAGTGGTACGATCTATCGTGGAATGCCCCAGCATTCACACAATGGAAATTCCGAAATAAATCATACGAATAGGCGATAGCCATTCCAACACATTCATGCGGAGGGTGCAGTTATTGAATGAGTGATACCTCTACTACAACGGCGGAGGCCCGAATCCAGATTCACACAGTCACTGCCTGCCAGGCGCGTAACCACGAATCTGAAGTTACTGGGGACCACATGGAGGGCCGCGAATACCAAATATGATATTTCAGGATCAGCCTTCGCCGGAATGCGTGTGTGTGTGTGTGAAGGGGGAAGAGGGTGGGGGCGTTTTTGGCCACACCTGCCAATTTTTTTTTGCGCATGTAAGGAAAACCGCGGCGCGCACCGCCGTGAAACTTGGTATAGCTTATGATATATCAATTTCGCATCGTGTGTGAAAATTTTGCCCCCAAGTCACCTAAGGTCAGGTCACCAGGGCAGGGCAAGTAAAGTAACCAAGCCTCTAAAAACTTTGTGACTTTGTCATTCCTATAGTTTACATCCCAGAAGTTTGAAACTCGAGCTTTTACGTGAGGAAATCAGTATGAAAAATTCGTATACCTATCTCAAAGTTTTCACATCGGTGACCTAATGTCAGGTCAATTTTACGACCTCTTCATTATAGGTCATTGGGAGGAAATTGAAATACTTTCTTTTGGCCGAAAACACATTCAAAAACCGTGACACAGGTAAACATGACACACTGAACCGGAAAATTGCACCTGTGACCCCTCAATGCCCCTCAGCTCATCTTAGGTCATGAAACATCTCCAACAGTTTTTTACCACAACTTTAGGTAGAAACATGCTAGAGCGCTGAAAACAGCATGAATGTGTTCAGCTCAACAATACCAATCAAATGGCATGCAACATGACCTTTTCCCTGACCAGGGGTCAAATTTTAAAGTTGACCTTTTCAGGTCAACTTATAGTTCATTCGACACGTCTCGACGAGACAAACGCGATGCCGGTAAAATCAGCGTCATACAAGTTTTAAGTCCAAAGCTATGATGCAAAAACCTTTTCCGCAAAAACGCAGCCTGGAAGCTAAAACGTTGACCTTAGGTCAAGTCTGCGAGCATTACTCAGAAATGCTTTTGAAAGCGCTATCGAATGCGCTTTCCCGCAGCATTGCAACTCTATTGGTTCCTGACTTATGCGTCGATTTGTGAAAAGTTGTCAAAATTTGGAACAAAATTTCGTGAAAATTTTACAGTTGGTGACCTGTAGTGACCTCAGCTATGACCTGATAAAAAAATGATGTAGGTAATTCTGGAAGATACTGTAGCGAGCTATCTGTTGCTTTTCACTTCGTCTTTCTAGCTTGCTTACTTTCCGATATAACCTGGTGTGGCCAAAAAGCCCCCCCCCCCCCCCCACCATGGCGAAGTTGGCTGAGAGGCCCACCCGGGTGCTGGTTAAACAAAACATCCATAGTTTTGTCTTACGTTGACTACATCTTTTCACGTCGATTTAGAGACAATCTGTCGCTATTTAAGCAAATTGAGGTCGTCAGTTTTACTGGGGACGGTCCCCAGTAACCCAAAAGCTACTGGGGACCGGTCCCCAGTGTCCCCAGTGGTGGTTACGCGCCTGCTGCCTGCCCTAACTGCTGAGATAAGGCGAGTCGGATGTTCGCTCGACCTTTTTCGCGATATCCGAACAAGGCCATCCCATTGGGACCCCTACAGGCCTGCACCTCACTGTAATCGAGGAAGTGGGTCGGGAAACTTTTTCCATTCGAGCCCCAGGTCGTGCAGCGCTCTAGCTCTGCGACGAATGAGCGGGCTTTGTTTCCGCCGTATAAAGACAAATGTGATGACGTTCAGCAGTAAGCACTGCAATAAAACACTGATTACCGGGCTATCCACACATCGTGATTTTTTGCATGTGAGAGTGCGAGTATGCGGGAGGATTATTTAATATTTTTGACAAAATAATGTAAGGTTGCTGGCTTAATTCTTGCAAATAAATGTGCCACCAGTTATGTTGTGAATGGCCCAAAGACAAAATACGATCAAAATGCATTGCCGTACAATATACCACGTGCACACGCTGCTATATTTTGTATACCTACTGGCCTGCTAGATTTTGCTTACTTACCGCGATATACGTGTCGCAGCAACTAAAGCTACTCGGAATCTGTGGCGAATATCAGCGCTAAAGCAGAGCAGACAAGCTCGTAATCTTTTTGTTGCTGTCTGCTTCTCTCTGTGCTGCGGGCGGCGGGCGGAATTAAACTCCATTCTGCCGCAAGGTCGCAGAACACGATAATAGGGGTGAACTGAGTGGCAGAATCTGAGACCTGACGGCGAGGGCCTCGGTCTGGGCCTCTGCTCTCCTGCCAGTCGGATGGTGAAAGAAAGTCGGCTATGGTGTGAATATAGGTACTATGAACTCAGTTCGTGTGATGCGATACAGCCTACCACTCTACATAGGTAACCGATTGCCTGTGAAAAGTGGAACATCATTCTGTAGTCAACTGTATTGTGTAGGCCGCTCTGTATATCCATGATCATAATAACCATGATACTTTATGATTCGCTAATCCTGCACCCCTCGGTCTTTTCGTTACCCTCTAACCCGCCGGTGAATTCCCACATCTCTAACCCGACAGGTTGTCGATGTGTCAGCGCGCGAGCCGTGTCGGTTTGCGGCGGGCTCTATTACCAGTCCTCTAACCGCCAGCTGCGACCACAGCTGCGGGTCGGAGCGCAGCGCCAAACAGCCACAGACAGCCCGACCCGACCGCCACCCACCGGTCGCGGGGAGGGCACCCGGGGGCGGGAGAGGGTAGGGGTTAACCTTCGCGGGCGCGCGGGTTTACCACATGTCCGCGGCTGAAAGTGAAAAGGGGTGGAGCGGGACAACCCGCTTGAAAGTTTGGCCCCTTTGGAATGTAGTGTCGCGGAAATTGCGCAATGTGCAGCGCTAGCTTACGTGACCCAGCATTTTATACCGCATTTGAAGCTTTTACATCAATTTATCTCGTGACTATGGAACTTGTGCCATATACATATGGTATCGTCGGGAGCTGCTTTTAATGTTTTTTTACCAGTTTTGAAGTGAGCTGAGCTTAAACAACGAGCGCAGGTATAATACAGATAAACTCGTAAACATGCATGACCCTTGCATGATAAATAACACGCATGCAATGTCACGTAACTGGGGACTCCCGTGGGATTCCTTTCCAAGGTAGCAGTCATCTGCTTCTTGTTGAACACGTTGAACATCATCATGTTCCCTAACCAGTGGTAAATCCCTGAGTCTGGTCAGCGCCCCTCCGCATCGTTCTCAAAACATCGTGATGATGGAGCAATTCATCAATTCACCACCCTCTCCGTGACGAAATATCAGCCACTGATCGGGGCCCCGCCAACCGGAGCCACAGCGCAGCGGCGGTGCCGATGGGTCACGTCCTGGTATCATGCAGACAAGAGCTAGTGTTGTTTTCTGAAAGCCACGGACAGGCTGACAGCGACTGCCCTGACAGACAGACAGATCGACGGCCGGCGTCCTGAAATACTGTCAGATGACAGACAAGAGCTGGCGTAACGAGAACGACAGACAGCCATCGACAGACTGACGGCCGGCGTCCTGACATACTTGTCAGATGACAGACTGGCCGCCGAGCTCAGAGTCCCTACGCTGACCTTTGTGGAGCACGCACAGCGCGTGCGCACTGCGCGCCTACTGCAGATTGGTATGACAAAGCAGCTCCAGCTCTCATTGCTACGTGTAAAAAGTACACTGCCTTCTCGTAAGAACAGTGTTGTCGCCATTGTGCAGTACTGGGACTTGTTTTGGTGTGTGTGGTCAGGCAATGTTCAGTTCTAGCACTCACCGTTGTGGAGGACTCGCACGTTGTTTTGGTGAGCGTGGCAGACCAGCTCAGCGTCGATAAAGTCAAACAGCACGATCGTTGTGAGCTTCTTCCAGTCGAACGTCAGCCACGTCGACTGGGTTGTGTTCAGGACGAACGCAAATACCTGCCGGTCAAATGGGTTCAATAATTTGAGCGCCGCTCAATAATTAATGATCGTTATGCATGATTCACAAAATGAACACATTACAACTGCATTGAGTCATAGGCAGTCGATAGAGTTTACCATTTACAATAAACATTTGACAATCTTGACTGGTGAAATTATATTTTGTCATTTTTAGTAGAATGAAGACTACGTGCGCCGGGAACCCTGTCCCTGTCAATACACAATGTTCCCCACCCTCAGCTGTCATCGTGCCGATCAGTGAATAAGACATCAATCGATTTGACGCAGATGTTATCAGCTTTTTTATCGTCCCCGATGTTTTACCAACCATAAAAACAAGACTACATCGAAAGGCGAGCGGGTCATATTTGAAAATGTCAATCGTAAGTACCCAAATCCAAATGGTGAAGTCCAAATCGGACTCCCTGTTCCAAACGATATAGATAGACCCTAATGTACCCATTCCAAGCGAATATAATTATTTATTTAGTACACTCTTAACCCGCCTCCGTACACCTGTCTACGATTCTCTTCGCCAGTTTTTGCCTTGCTTCGCCAACTCTCTTCGGTACCTCCCGGTCGCCGCGCGACCGGTCACCTTAGTTTGCCGCCCTCGACCTTCAGCGAACAAACCTCGTTCGAATGCAAAACTAACGCCTCTCTTTCTTCCATCCACTAATCAGGAACACCCTGTCGAAACAGGCTCTCCGCCTTGTCTGTAATCTGATGGCGCGGTGTCGACAGTCAGACAGGACGAACTTCGGACCGGCGCGAGCTGCCGGGGCACTGGCCGGGCGGCGCCGCGACCGCATGCAACAGCACGTGACCCGAGCGGGGCGAGTGGGCAACTTTTCAACAGCTGGAGCGGACGCTTTAAATGTTACATGCAGGGTGGCGAAAGCTCACGTCCGCAAGCCAGTGTGATGTGTGAGTGATGCTTCGAGTTTGAGTGGATTTCCGGACTCCGGTTGCGTGGTGTGAAAATGCTACTTTCGGGAAAGGTAATAAATTTAGGCATCTTATTGGCCACGCAGTCGCCGGTGTTTACACCCAGCCATACACTACGTAAATTTCACTACGAGGTTATGAGTATGTGCATTTATAAACGGCAGTAGGATGTAACGACTGCACTGAGGCCAAAGTTGGGTCACGGATGGACTCTGCAGCTCATAACAACTAACAAGCATGTACGAAAAAAGCAAACCAGTCCGAATGTGTTTACTCCACTCTTTATACATATTTTAGACCAGTAACTCACGAAATAAGGAAATAGCTCGACATGGACGGTCGACTTTCCATGGACTCGGCCTTCAGATACCGCCGCTGCGTTCCTGCCGCCCTCACCATCCGCCGTTTATTGCACACCAGACGGCTCCGAGGGCGGTACAGATGAGCTAGTGCAGCTCCGCCCGCAACGCTCGGCCGGGAGGTCCAGAAATCACGGCTCGCTTCACGAGGCCATTCGCCGTGAAATAGCCTGCCAGACGCTCACAGGGCTGCTTTTCGCTCGATTTGACCTTCAGGTCTGCATGAGCAGCATAGGGAGGGGTCGTTTACGGCGAGGAAGGCATGCGCTCTTCACTATTATGTAATTATTATAAAGCAAATTTGTTTATTTTGGGAGAGCATCACGATGAGTGCCGACATGCCTCGCGGTTCCTGACAGCCTCTGTTACAGTGTGTTTATGTAAGAACTCGACAGAACGGGAGCGAGCCACAAGATGGATGGGTTAATAGTTTCTTAATTCAGCAGTAAACTGCGATCACTGGTCACTGGCTGGGGTATTGTATTGGTTAGGGCTCTGAGCGATTCAAGGAAGGGGGAGTTATTATGGAATATTTGCGCCTCGCAGCCCCCGTAGTCCATCAGCCTTGCAACTAAAAAAACAAAACAAAACGCACCGCTCGATGCTGAGCAAGAAGCCAGAGGTGCACACCTAATTCAACCCCTCGAAAGGCCATAGAACTTCGACTGTTACCCACGGTCGCCCCTTCGTACCAGCATTCCTCAGACATAGAAAACACGACAGAGCACATACCGAGTGGTTACGCTATCCGTCTGACAACTCCGCATGTCTGTGGCACAAACAAGTGACGACACTGGGCCTCCAGAGTCCAGTCCGCCCTCCCGCGTCCAAAGGAGAGCCGCCCATCCAGCGTATCTTTTCGAGATAAGGCCGTCACAACTTTGTGCCATAGCTGGATAAGAAACTAGCTGGATAACACCCGAGTGTATCGTTCAGAGATAGGCGGACGACGCTCCCAGAATAGCCCCGCCCCGGTCAGCGGTTACATGGGCACCGAGACTAAACAACCAACAGGGGGCCGTGGGTGACGGAGTGTGTACCACTGATCACTCGGAGGCACGCGACCAGACAGGACACTTACGCTATCATGCAGCCGCCGACGCCCCAAGTACACACACTAGCTAATCGGTCCGGTCTAGGGCAACGGGTCCAAGCGTTGACCCTTTTGAGGGCGGTATTGGAGTAATGCGCACTAACCCCATTGAGACGGTGGAGGACGGCGTGGCGTGGCGCCCGTGATGGTGTAAGTTTTAGAGAAATTTGCATATGTGTGTATATCAGTCTTTTACGCCTGCCAACTCCAGTTTGACATGTGTATGTTCAGTCTGACACAGGAGATGGTGTCAAGACAATAACATCAGCGGAACATAAACAGAAATGACATCAAAGAAGTCCCAGACTTGCTAGTCACTTTTGCGGAACGATCGCTAAAAACTGTATCCTACCATTACCAACACAAGTGTCCTGTTCAAATACGAACAATGATTTAGGAATACAAGTGATAAAATAAAGACGCAGAATCGAATTCATGACAGAATAAACACTAAACAGACATCCTTATGTGCAAGCACATTAGATAAAGAGGAAAACAAGGGCCGTTGACGACTGTTTGGACGAGATTAGAGAGCACACTACATATTCTTAAGAAAGGTCAGCTTTCCTGTTTCAGGAATAGTCCGGAAATGCGCGTGTCTCTCTCAGGAACCGATGTTGTCGGCCCTGCGTCAAGGCCAATAATCATCGCTAACTGGACCGAAAATATCTGCAGACGCTGTAATGGACAGCCGACAAAACATGGGCAGCGCCATTCGTGAAAGAGCTTGCAGGAATTTCCTGAGAATCAACGTAAAAAGCACCATTTCTAGGTCCGGCTTGATTGCTTTATTTACATAATACGGAGGCGCAGTAGGGTTCGATTATTGAAGGCAACGGAAACCATTTATGTAAAGCAGGGTTGTGCTCGACTCAAAAAAATTTGCCGACTCGACTCATCATTCAACTTCAGAATGCCCTGACTCAACTCTGACTCAAACAAGGAGCTGATTTTTTCCCTTGACTCAACTCATGACTCAAGCGGCTCAATTAAAATATGAGTTGACTCAAACTTGACTCAAATTTTTTGTTGAGTCAAGTGTGTTGACTCAAAATTGACTCAGATAAAAAAGTTGTTGAGTGGGGGGGGGGGTGAAAAAAATCCGGCAGCAGGTCCAGGCCTAAGTTGTTAAGCGGGGGGGGGGGAGAATGAAAAACTTATACCTACTATATATTGTTTCACAGATAACAGTAGTACTACTGTTATCTGTGATTGTTTCTAAAAAGTTGAGTCAGCTGACTCATGTTCCTAATTGTTCTTGACTCAACTCAATGTCAAAAGTTATTTTACGGACTCAACTCTGACTCAACTCAACACCTTAATATTTTTGTCCGACTCAACTCTGACTCAACTCAACAGCTCAACATTTTATCCGACTCGACTCAAATCTGACTCATTTGAGTCAGAGTTGAGTCAAATTTCTGACTCGACTCATGAGTCAAGCACAACCCTGATGTAAAGTCGACGCCGTCCTTGCAACATATATCTCGTAAAATTGAAAATAGTTTTTTTCGCGTCCTTGTGACGGAAAACCCTCCTCAATATGTAATTCTCTACATTAAATCCCTCTCAGTATCATCTCAGTATCTTCTGAAGCACGTCAACACCTAACAGGTGATATTGACCCGTTCTTTTCCATAAGCATGATTTCCAAATCGGTCACTCGCCACAACACATTTTGCCTTCACAGTGGTGTAAATCTGAAAAGCATCTGCTGGCCTCACCTCGTTGACCTCAGTTTTGGGTTTGAACAGGGGCCGGCACCAGTCGGCCAGCGAGCACACGCAGGGCGCCGTGGTGGGTGTCGGCGGCGGCGCCGGGGTCACCTCGTCGCGGCTGAAGAAGAACACGGCTGACGCTGCCGGTCGCGGGCCGGCCAGGGTGACCGCCAGCAGCAGCAGCAGGGCCGCCGGTCCGGCGCACACTCGGCGGTCCAGCATGGTCGGCTGAAAAATAACGCCGGGGGTGAGCGGCAGAAAAGCTGTAAGAAGCAAGAACTTTGGGCTACTTTTATCTAGCTAGCTACATCTTTACACTGGTGGTTGGATTAGGAGAATGATTTATAATCATCAGACCTGAGGTCTTTCCGGCGCGGAACGGAAAATTCAAAGTGATTGGGGGCCAAAACGATTTTCATCGATCGTAGCAAATTGTATAGTAGGGGAAGTTGGGGCAATGCCGGAGTTGGGGCAAAGCCGAAATTCGAGATATTTCGAAAACCGTAAGACATGGATGCCACCTGTCAGTGATGCTCTGAAGCTTTTTTTTTTTTTTTTTTTTTTCTTCTAAGATAGTCCGTTACCCATGATCAGGTAACCAGGAGTGCCCCCTCCCACAGTCCCGGCGACGCACAGAGACCTTACTTTAACACCAGGTAACATAATAAATTGATCAAGTCGCGGCACTCCCTGCTAAGAAGTGGAAAATATAAATAAAATATAACGCATGCAATACTACTAAAAAATGTTAGTAAGTACGCCAAAAAGGAGGAAAGTAGTCATTGCCAAGTGAAGCAAAATGACTGCCCACTATACCAACACAAGCAACTATCATTTATACCAGTGTTAGTAATTAACGCAATACGCATTCATACTCAATGTGGGGAAAAGCATGCCTGGTCATGTTCTTGCAAGGTTATTTTTATTGCCGAAACCCTTGGCTCCGTCCGGCTAAGCTAGGCTTGTTGCCAGACAGAACCTCAGGAAACAGCACGGACTAGAGTATTTTAAGAATTAGTACAATAAGTTGTATAGATGTCAATGTAGGTAATGCATGTAACCTACATTCAATTTGCATATTTACCATAAGGCAAATATGCAAATTGAAATAGACAATGATTGAGAAGGGTGGTACACAAGGATTTATTGTAGTTGGTATTTAAAATAGGTATATACGAATCGTTAAGTTGTGTACGTGCATGACATGCACATACGTACATACATGCATATGCATATGTATCAAGTACGCGAAACATACACATATACATACACACACGACACATATGCATCCCACAAACCAAAGTGGGTAATATGTACTATTTCCAACGCAGAGTACACCGTGGAAATAGCACATATTTATACAAACCCCTAACGATATACGAACAGTATAGCTATACACAATATATAGGTAGGAATAATGTTTGTCGCTATGAGGTTGATTATTCTTATTATTGTTTTGATTGTTCATTAATAGTTCATATTTATCTTAAGTGTTGTATGAATCAACAAAGTGTCTGCGTATCACCTTCTTTATTATTTGTTTTGAAGATGGAATATGATTAACAGTTGTGAAAAGAGGCGCAACAATGCTATTCCATAATCTAGGACCTAGAAATCTGATAGTAAATAGTCGGTAGTTGCGATTAGAGAAGGGCTGGTTGAAGTGAGTGGTACGCCTCGTGCCGGCATGGTTTTCGGGACTCAAATCAAACAGGTTGTTAATTGTTTCTGGAAGTTGTTCTTTAATAAATTTGTGCATAACAAGAAGCATATGAGATCTCGCTATATCAGTTATCCTTAATAAGTTATATTTTTTGAAAATAGGCACAGAGCTCTGAGGTGGGTAAACTCGTTCAATTAGTCTGACAGCTCTCTTTTGTAATATGATGAGTTTTTCTAACTGAGCATGGTAATTATTTCCCCAAACGATACAGCAATAGTTAAGATATGGAAGAATTAGGGCATTATACAAAAGGAGGGTCGTTCTCTTATCAATATAGAAGCGTGCTCTTGCCATTATTCCGATGTTCCTGCTAACGATATTTGATGTATAGTCTATATGTTTTGTGAACTTCAATGACTTATCGATGAAGACTCCTAAATATTTGATAAACTCTTTCTCTTTAATTTCAGTTGAATCAAGTACTACGTTTACTTTTAACCCTGAAGACTGAGTTGCATAATGCTGTGTGAAAGTTTTTGTGCCGTTTAGAGAAAGAAAGTTTGCATGAAACCAGTTACTGACTTTTTCAGTAACTTCATTTACAGTTCTTTGTAGGCTATGTATGCATTTATCTTTAAATATGATTGCAGTGTCATCTGCATAGGAGAGGCAAGTTACGTCAGGACTGATGTTTGGTAAATCATTTATATATAATATAAATAACAGAGGACCCAAGATCGATCCCTGTGGAACTCCCATAGTAACATTTTTGACAGATGAGTATGCTTTTCTTATTTTCACACATTGCTTCCTTTCTTGCAAGTATGAAGATAATATTTGTTGTGATTTGTGTCTTATACCATACCTTTGTAGTTTTTGTAGTAGCAAATCAATGTGCACCGTATCAAAAGCTTTTCTTACATCTAGAAATAAGCCGAGCGCAAAGTTGCCCTCTTCAAAGGCTTTAGTAATTATATCTTGTAGAAGAAGAATCGGCATATAAGTTGACTTTCCTTTTTGAAAACCAAATTGATTACAGTGAATAATGTTGCTTCGGTTAAGATGCTCAATGAGCCTTCGGTATATTAGTTTTTCAAGAATTTTTGAAATAAAGGGTAAAATGCTAATTGGTCTATAATTACCCACTTGCTTTTTATCGCCATCCTTAAATATTGGTTTGATGATTGCCACTTTAAGGGGTGATGGAAATTCAGCTTTGCTCAAACAGGTGTTCAAGAAGTAGAGTAAAGGATTTAGTATGGCCTTGTATGAAGCTTTAAACAATTTAGAGTTAATGTTGTCGATACCAGCACCGACATTTTTCAGTTTATTAACTATATCGATAAGTTCTTGTTCATTTGTAAGAGTTAAATCCATTTCTTCATGCACGAATGGTACTTCGCTCAGTGGGTCAAATGGTGAAGGTGGTATCCTTTTCCTTAAAGTTTCACCTATCTCGGAAAAGAATTTGTTAAAGGTTTCTGCAATATTTTGATCATCAGTTACTGTTTTGTCATTGCCATCTGAAACTTCGCAAGGAATGTCATCAGTTTTGTTGCCAGTGTTTATCAAAGATTGTATAGTTTTCCATGTTTCTTTGGAGTTGCCAGAGTTTTTATTGAACTCATTAATGTAATACAATCTTTTGGCAGACCTAATGACGCGCGTGAGAATGTTCCGATATTGATTGTACTGAGTTGTATTATTATGTGAAGGATTTTTTAGCTTATTTTTAAACAACTTGTTTTTTTGGGTAATAGAGGTAAGAATAGCTGGAGAGATCCATGGCATCCTCGGATGGTCTTTCCTGGTGAATCTTTTTGTGTAAGAGAAGGCTGTTATACCATTGTTGTATGTTTCAATTATTTTGTTTGCCATGGTATTAGTACAAGTTTCTTGATAAATATTTCTAAGTTCATTTGATATATAGGATTTGAATTCATCAATCTTCCTATAATCAAATATCTGTTGCTCATTTGTCAATTTTATTTGCTCCTTAGCAGTGTTTATGTGAACATTTAGAGATGCATAGATAGGAAAGTGATCGGATAGATCACTTAGGATAATGCCCGAGTGTGCCACCCTTGTCAAATCATTGCAGAAGATGTTGTCGATAAGAGTGTGAGATGGGTGGCAGGAGCGTGTTGTTTTTGAAATGGTAGGGAAAAAGCCATGAGACAGTTGGTTATGTAGAAAAGCTTGAACAGCTGGATTGGATCCAATTGAGAAAAGATCAAAGTTAAAGTCACCAGTAATCAAAGTGACCTTGTTAAGATTGTTAAGCCAAATGAGTAGTTTTTCAAGTTCTTCATTGAACTGATGTTTGTCAGTACTAGGTGATCGATATATTTGACATATGATGAGACAAGTATTTTGAATTTTAATCTTTGTGCAAATAACCTCAGCCGTAGTGAATGTAGGACTGTCTAGGCATTCTGGGGACAGATAACTCAGACTGTAGATTGCTGAGCCTCCACCCGCACCAGCTGATCTGCTACAGAATGCAGCCTGGTAGCCTGGCAAATTGTAGCACTTTTCAATATTTTTGGTTAACCATGTCTCAGATATGGATATAACATGCCAAGTAATCGCAGTGTCATTAAGAAGGCTGCAGAGATCATCTAATTTATTGACCAAAGATCGTGCATTTACATGTAATATGTTCAGCTGCTTGTCTGTGTTGCAATTTATAGTTTTGTAAACACTGCTAGGCATATCAAATGAACAGTTCGTTCTTATTTCTTCATACTTTCGATATGGAAATATGCCATTGGTTTCGTCATTGCTTTCATCAAGAGAAAAAGGATCTAAAGTTTTGTTTAGTGGGATGTCTATCATAACACTAAGAGCAATGAAGATAGAGCAAAGGGTTTCAAATCACATGGAATCAGGTTCAGAGAGAGAGACAGGGAGAGAGAGAAAAAAAGCCTTCGAAAGTATGGCAGCAGGCAAAGAAACCCTACTATTGTATCATTTTTTTATATTTTAATTAGAGGCAAACACCTATCACTGTATATTCTCTAACACAATGATAATAATCAGGGCGCCATCTAGAACCATTTAGTTGAAGTGAAAGATAAGTATCTTTAATAGATGTCGCTGGGGTGCTGTGGCCCGGCCCCACCACCAAGGCTGAATCCTCCCAAAGAAGGATGAAAATGACTAGGTAGCATATGAGGAGAGGAACACGAGGTTTGATAAGTACATGTTTGCTTAATTTATCAGCTGAGTATGTGACTAGAATAGTGTTATGTTCATGTTCAGTAATTCAGTTTTTTTTTCTTCTGGATGCTGGCTGTATGGGAGCATCTTGTTATTATTATTATTATTATTACTTACTTTTGTATTATAGATTATTCTGTGAAGATTTGCCCCCAAAACCAGGCTATATGCTTGTCAGAAGCATAAGCTCAGCTGATATATCAGCAGAGGCCAAGTAGCAAAGGACTGAACTGACTCATTTTACAATCACACATAGCGCCCACACATACTGTAAAACCAATCCGTTTGCTGGATTGAGGCATGTTGCCATGCTCATTCACTCATTAAAACATCCTGTCTCCAAACAGGGATCACATATATACAGATAAAACTGCCTGTCTCCAGGCATGGGGAGGGCATACACACATATAAAACAGCCTGTTTCCAGGCAAGGCGCACACTCACACAAAGCCTGGAGGCTAACCACTCACACTCAGTCCAGGCCACACTACCTCATCCATGATTCAGCCATGAGCCGAGCAATCTGCCAGCCACCCGGGGGGAGGGGGGAAATCTTCAACACAATTTGAGATATTATTGGTGTTGCTGCAACCTATGCAGCATTGTCACAGCAGTGCTACATTATGCTGGTAAGGTGTGGAATTGTGTAAGTGCATTATGTGCAACAGTGAGAGATGCATATGTACCTTGAATTGTACATATGCATCTCCCCATTCAATTGCATTGTACGTGAACAACACAATTGACCAACTGTACTGCACATACACAGCAACAGTCAATGCACCATACATTTCATCAGTTATTTGCAATGTGTTACTTTTAACTTTACACTCAGCTCCTGTAGTAGGTAGGTAGTAAGGGATGAATGTGTTTAAATTTACTTCAAAGATTTGAGGGATGACAAGGATTGAACTAAGAGGTCTACAGACCAGACAAGTGAGGATGCGAAAGCAAATTGGGAAAAGAAGCCCAGAGAGGCAGCGCCGAGCCACAGCAACCCTATGTTCAAAGGAATTTATTATGTTGAGCTATAAGCAATATTGAAATGATTTCAGTAAATCATATGACGTCAGGTGACATATAATTCTATTTTTCCCACACTTACTTCTTTAGGGCAGCCTGACGAGTCAAGGGACCAGCAGCCTTCTTGTTCCTTTCTACCACCAGACTTTCCAGGCTTTCTGTTTTGTTGAGGACATTGCCTGCTGGGATCTGTTCAAAGGTTTGGGAAATCAGGAATCTGCCATGGGAAGAGTTTCCACGGGCACCAGTATAGGAGAGGGCATCGGCATCACGCATTGCCTGGATGATTTCTTCCCTGGTGAAGGAAGGCTGGATGCGGGCATATCTCTTGTCCTTAGAATCCCTGGCCAGGATGATGCCATTTTTGGAGTGGTAGTTGATGACATGATCATTGTTTCGCTTCATGTCTGAAAGAATTTTCACCTGTTTGGCACGCCTGTCAGTCAAGTTTTCATGAATGATGACCCCTGCAGCCTCCGTTTGGTTGAATTTAGCCTGGTACACTTTGTTCCTATCATCCATGTCCTGGAATTTCACTACCACCCTCTTCTTGTTTCTCAGGCGGTGACAAGCCACCACTTCTCCCTTCATGTCCACCTTTAACTTTTCCTTGATAACTTTGATCGCCATGGCCCTAGTCTCGTCAGTGGATTCATCTTTCTTTGGCTCTGGGACTCCCTCCCCACTCAGAATCAAACACGATTTCCTGGAGTACTGCTCTACCTCATCAATGGTGTCCTCTAATTTTTTGACAGCCTTGTGAAGCTCAGAATTTTCTTTTTTCAGGTTTTCATTCTCTACCTTCAGCTGAGCTAACTCTTTTTTGACACCCTCCATCTCCTTACTCACGGCCTCAGCTACAATAGCTTTAATCTCCTCCATCTCCCTCGCTGAACCCCAAAATCAATCACAAAATCAAAAAAGACACAAAGAAATTATGAGAAAAAAGCAAAAAAGGACAAAAGTGAAAAGCAAAAACTGGTAAACTATCAAATACACCCAAAAAATCGAATCGAATCTACGCGTCACAATCGCCACGAGGAGACACTTCCGCGCTCGACCAAGGTCAGACCGGGAATGACTAAGTGACTACAATTATCGCATGTTTGTTACGAGTCGTCATTCGGAATACTTCGACTGTGAGGGCGCCAAGAGCGTTTTCAAGGTACGTTTCCCTTGTACTACATGCGCCTTTGAAGCTGCATTTCTTACTCATTATGCTACCGTTTGTCTGGCCAATTCGGTCAAGTAATCTTTAGCATGTCTTTGCATAAGTGTGCTGCCTATTTGAAATTTATACAGCGCGTTGAAAAGTTATGGGCCTGCAAATGAAAGTATGTCTGGCTGGGGTGATGCCGAAAACGTGCGATTACGCACGTGTTAAAAGCACGCTACGTGGACTTTACTGCTGTAGAATAGCAACGCGTATTTTTAGTCAAACAAATTACACTTTCAACCGACACAACGGCCTGTTACCTATAAGGAATGATTTACCTGGCATTTTCTTATTATATCACACAATTATAACTTCCAGTGTGCACCGCGTCCTCAAGCTCTTAAAACGCGTGTCAGCTTTGATGAATTCTGGATAAAGTTTGAGATAAAATGGCAAAACATCAATGTCGGCATTCCCCGTAGATCATTTCTCCCATTTTCGGCTTTCCCCGCAGTCCGGGGCAACGCCGAAAAAGTCACTTGTTTGATATTTTTAGTTTGTGCACTTAACGGTATGCAAATTCATCAAATGCGCCTGGTATGTATGAAAGGCAAAAGACTGGCCTCTCGAATGACGCCAACAAGAATAGCTTATGTTGTCTACCTTGCGTGCTACGGGCGTCAGAAAAAAGTCTTCGGCGTTCCCCCAACTTCCCCTAATCAGTGCAGCTAACTACAGCCGACACCGCCGAGAATACGGCAACTGCACAAGTGTACAACATGTGTGCTCTCCGACACATGATATCCTTCATCATTGTTGATTGATAAATAATTATCTTGATTGATTTGTAAAATATCAAACCAAATACATTTATGTGACAATGTCTTTGCAAAATCTTACATCCGCACGGCGCACCGCCGAAGTACGTCCAACTATTGTCACGCGCATATCGGAAGTGGCGTCTGTTCCGGCCGTCGGCACGTGACCGGATGGCGCCGTTCGTCTCGTGCGCCGGGTCCGTTCGCCTCCTCGTGCGCCGGGTCCGGTCCCGTGCGTCCATCGGGTGACCACCGACGACGTGTCACATTACACCGCGCGGGCCGGCCAGCCGCCTGATACTGATTCATCAGTGTATCCTACTCCCACGTGATTTAGCCAAATGGTTCGTATCAAACGTCACACCACGCGATATAGTGACACAGAGAGGCACAGTCAATGGTCATTGGTCATCAGCGTTATTCGGGGATTTACCACCACCCTTTCCCTCATCAGTGTCCTTGGACCTCTACATACATGACTATCTCTGATGGTACTACTCCATTGATAAAGAGAGGCGATGACCGCAGTTCCGTTCAAGGGTACTGGCTCGGCGCGGCCGTGGGAGCCACTTCCGTGCGGGTGGGGCGATAAGCGACATACAAGGACCGAGTGAAAGGGATTAGCCCCCCGGCTGAGTGGATCAGTGACATGAAAAGGGTACCCAGCAGGGGGTCGACGACCGGCGACAGGAACCGGCGTGGTTTGGCGGAAACTGCGCAGTTGGTCGGTCCTCGCGTATCTCTGACATGCTTGACTGTCGGGGAGACATAACATATGCCGGATACAGTTAACACGGGATCCAGGCGTATGATTGCATTACACTACGAGGAAAACGGGTGACCCCTCATGCACGGGACGTTCGGTCAGCCGGTGGGAGCTGACGGGAGATGTGACGTGCCATCGACTTGCTGACGATTTACAGAATAACAAAAATTACCAATAAAAATAGATGGATGGTAAACGTATATGGTTAAAAGTAGTGTTTTACAGCAGGCGAAGTAAAAAGCTAATATATCTTCCAAATAGTCCCATATCAGCTATAAACACCAGTAAAACGCCTTTTGGGCGACCAACGGAGCGAGCGAGAGGATGGGCCTTGCACGTGCGAAATTGCGAGGGGGTACCTCCAACTAATTTGTGCACTGCACCCTACTAACCGGTCTTTAGCGATGTGCCAAATTTCAGCGCAATCGGCCTAGCCGTTCTCGAGATCTGGAAGCGGCACACTGCACGTGCGCACGTGCAAGCGGGGTCCAAACTGACTTTTGCACGGCACCCTACTAACTGGTCCCCAACCGTGTACCAAATTTGAGCGCAATCGGCCCAGCCGTTCTCGAGATCTGGGAGCGCCCCCTGCACGTGCGCACGTGCCGTTGCACCCCAACCTTAACACATGCAGATGAATTGTCTGATGGAGACCTAACTGTGTACCGAGTTTCAATTCAATCGGCCCAACCGTTGTGCCGTTATTGAGGTTGCAATTTTGGGGGTTCTTAACCCGCGCCCGGCTGGGGGTCCTGGATTTCCACGCCCTGCTGGGGGGGGGGGGGGGTGTTTGAACACCCCCCCTTGTAACTCGGCTCCTGGGCCACGTAGCGATACGCGGAAGGCGGCGTTCGAAAGAGCGTCAAAAATAATGACGAAATCACTTCGGTCAATTTTTTGGTCAGGTCAAAGGTCAGGTCACCAGAGGTCATTGAAGGCAAAATTTCGCCGATTTCCAGGTCGAATGTCGAAAATTTCCAAGAAGCCAACGCATAACTCGGGAACCAATAGAGCTACAGCGCCGCGGAAAAGCGCATTCGATAGCCCTATTAACGCCCTTTCTGAGTAATTCTCTCAGATTTGACCTAACGTCAACGGTTTTGCCTGCAGGGGGCAAAAACTGCAAAAATAGCCGATTTTTTCGGAAACAGTTTTTCGGCAACAACTTTTGACCCAAGCCTTGTACGAGCTTACTTTTACCGGCATCGTGTTCCTCTCGTCAAGACGCATCGAATGAACTATAACTTGACCTTGAAAGGTCAACTTGAAAAATTGACCTCAGGTCAAGGTCATGACCTGACCGGAAAGGGTCATGTTGCATATCAGTCGATCCGTATCGTCGAGCTGAACACATCTAAGGCGTTTTCATCGCTCTAGCATGCCTCTATCAAAAGTTATTTGCGAAAAACTGTTAGATACCATTCGTGACCTAAGATGACCTCAGGGCATAAACAGGGGTCACGGACACCATTTTCATGTTCAGTGTGTCTAAACCACTTGTAATTCAGTGTTTGGGAGTGTTTATAATGTCTTCCGTCCAAAAGAGGCGCATTTCAATTTTCTCCCATTGACTTATAATGGGGAGGTCGCAAAATTGACCTGACCTTAGGTCACCGATATCAAAATTCCGAGATATACATTTTATAGATACTGTTACCCTTATCAATCGCTGAAAGTTTCAAAGCGATCGGTCACTCGGTGTAGCTATGACAGACATTGAAACTTTTTATGAGGTGAGGTCACTTCAAGTGACCTGGTGACCTGACCTTGAATGACCTTGGTCTGAAATTTTCACAACATGTGTAGAATTGATGTATGATAAGGTGTACCAAAAACGGCGGCGCGGAGCGCCGCCGTTTTTGAGATATTCGCGAAAAACCACAAGGGGGGGGGGGTGTTCAAACACCCCCCCCCAGCAGGGCGCGGGTTAAAAAATGTCCAACTTTACCACGCGCCACGTGCGGTGGTTGGCAAGAACGCATGGTGGCCATCACACCACAGAACTTTTACGTCCAAGTGACATTCAGTAAAGAAGACCGCTTGTCAATCGGATGTCCCGTTCCTAAGATATTAGCTTTTGAAGAGCGTCCCCACGGCCGGCCGGCCGGCCGGCCGGCCGCTCATACTCAGGATTTTCCCTTAATTCAGTATGAGACTCCGCTCGCTTCGCTCGCTCCGTAATAACCAGTATAGCGCCTTTTGGGGCGACTAACGGAGCGAGCGAGGGGGTGAGTCTTGCACGTGCGAAATTTCGAGGGGGTACCTCCAACTGACTTGTGCACGGCACCCTACTGACCGGTTTCTAGCGATGTGCCAAATTTGAGCACAATCGGCCCAGCCGTTCTCGAGATCTGGGAGCGGCACCCTGCACGTGCGCACGTGCAAAATGGGTCCCAACTGACTTGTGCACGGCACCCTAACTGGTCCCTAACCGTGTACCAAATTTGAGCGCCATCAGTCCAGCCGTTCTCGAGATCTGGAAACGACCCCTGCACGTGCGCACGTGCAGCAGCACCCCAACTCTGGCACATGGATATGCAGTGCCTAGTGGGTGCCTACCTATATGCCAACT